CGGACACCCCATACTCGCCAGCATCACCAGTGCCGCCGTGCTTCACCGGGTCCACCATGGCAGCATCACCTCCCTGGGTGGATGGTGACAGGCAAGAAGATCGTGCGTGTGTGTTATGGGTGCGGGAAGGATGGAAGGCCGCGGGCCGGCGACAGGGCAGTGGTACATACCTCAGCTCCCCCGGAGGTCACCACCTCCTCACCAGCCTTCAAAGCTTCTTCATTCCCCTGTGACATACACAATCTGTTTGTAAAGGTGCCCATGCATATCGCTCCCCGCCCCAGCCCTGGAGCTGGAAACCCACCGTTGTCATGGTCCTGTCAGCCGCGCTGGCTGCCTGTGACGTGATGACACTGGCGGCACGGAGGTGAAGCGCAAAGCTTGAAGCGGCATGCTCAGACAAAGCCGTGCTGCGTGCAGGGACCCCTGGCATGGTACACAACCCGCTGCTGTGCTCAGGGAGGCTGCCAGCGGCGTGCTGGCTGCCTGGCAGCCCACACTCAGCAGCTATCGGCGGCAAAGCTGCTGCATTCTTGATGATCTGCATGTGTGCAGGCACCCTGGCTTCAGCTGAGACAACCTGGGCGGAACAAAGGCAGGTAGCGTACCTCATCATACAGCCGAGTCCATGGCCGCATGGGCCAATGGTACATCATGTTGTCCTCGCGACCAATCTGTCCTTGGGCTGGTGTGGTGTGTCTTATGTGGTCCCGGACAAACACCAGAGCGGCATCATGGCTCATGCCCCTGATCCGCTCTTTGTACTCGTTTGTCTTCATCGCCAATCCTTCACGGATGTACCTCTTAAGGCTCTCCTCCTTGGCGCCACTACCAAGCATTCCGACTAGCGTCCTCTCCACCTGTGAGGACGGACACAATCTGTTTGCGCGCCGAACACTTCTCAACAACAACCTGGCACAGTATTCACCTGATTGCCAGCCGAGAATCTCATTGATACGAGATCGTCTGGCTTGCTGCGCCTTGGAACTGTAGCAACCCACTCAATGCCATCGACAATAACTATGAAGGTTTCTCCGGCGCGGCACTGTGCAAGTTCACACGCAAAGTTAAACACTTCACGTTTAAGGCGTTGGCCTATTTGTCTCTTCTGTAAGTAAAGGTCGCGTATCTGCATAAAGGTACCAGATGGTGTCATTTTCACAGCAATCTCATAGTGCTAAACCAGTGACGTTTCTTATTGGTGCTGCAAATTGTCCAAATGTTCACATGACTTCTGGGCAGCAAGAGGTGAAATGCCGTACAATTCCGGACCCCGGTCCGGAAGTGTACGGCATCTTAAAAATTATGCTGAATCCTGCTAAACAAATGCGTACACCCTGTATGTAAACATTTAGAGTTTCCTGGCAGTGCCTGTTGGGCGCTAGATAAGTTCAGAAGATGGCGGCGAGCAGATCAGCATACCCGGTAAGCCAGTCTTTTTCTGGGTGGACAAGCTTGTAGATATTAATTGGACATTCCAAACGGAAATTTAAGGACGGTTTCTTGTCCCGAGAAGTTAGCAATTTTAAACTTGTGGACGTACGCAGCCGCAATCAGTGCACGAATTGATTCGAGATTGGAATATTTGCAGTTCATGAAATTGAGGAAATGTGTTGTATAGGCGTATCCAAACGTTTCAGAGGGAGGTTGTTTCGCCCGTAACAAGTTTGTTACGGGCGAAACAAACTGGATTTCCACAGTCCCACCACTCAAAGAGCTCCCCACACCATCGCAGAGTCCCTTTTTTATTACAGACACATGTAACAGGTTGTCATCGCTTGAGATTGTCGATATATGACTGCTGGATTGTGACCAGGCGAACTCCTTACATGTCTTGCTTCACCTCTGTCACCCGGCGTTCATACATTGCTGCACACGACACATCACCGGCATCCACAGAAGCCTGCGCAAAGCTGTCACCTCTGTCACCCGGCGTTCATACATTGCTGCACACGACACATCACCGGCATCCACAGAAGCCTGCGCAAAGCTGTCACCTCTGTCACCCGGCGTTCATACATTGCTGCACACGACACATCACCGCCATCCACAGAAGCCTGCGCAAAGCTGTCTCCCGGCGTCCATACATTGCTGCACACGTCACATCACCCCTGGCACACTACGACGCCCCCTAGATGCGGGGATATGGTGAGAGAAACCTGGTAACATGCCAATGCCTAGCAAGTACCACCTTGAGACCTGCACTGGATGGCTTACTGGGATGAGGCATCGCCCAACATGGCCATGGCACGATAGTGTTGGCGAACCACCATTCTCCATCTGGTATTTTAATGGGCTTGCTTCTCACAACTGGGCAGCGCAGACGCCGGTCAACCTGGGCTTGCAGGCTTGGGCCCCGGAACCAGTCTGCCCTCACTACCTCATAAATGGCACGGTCTGGCCCCTTGTGGCGGATAAGGGCCTTCACCACCCCGAACCACATGAGGCCATCCCCTTCTGCATCTGGCAGCACCAGGAACCATGACCCCTTCTGGAGCTTCATCTCCCCAACCCAGATCTCCTTCATGATCTTGCAGCGACTTTGGACACGACCCTCCTTGTTGTACCGCTGATACAAGAGCTCGAGCCCCTCTAGCTCCGTTGGACCCAGTCTGTACATTTCCTCCTCGATGTTCCCTAGTCGTATAACTGGCAAACCCTCGCACAAGTACGTCTCGGGGTCCCACATTCCCGGGTCGACTTCATCCTCGTCACCATCCCGCCTGCCCAGGACAGCATACTCGGGCGATTGCCGGAGCTTTAGCGTCACTTCCTTGTCCAGCGCTGAAAAGAACATGCTAGACTCCATATAGACCTTACTGTGAGCAAGCCGGGACAGCATGCCCCAGATGGACTCCGGTTGAAACATGGCCCATGCAAATAGGGGCCCTGCACGTGTGCATGGGTGTCAGGTGGTAGGGGTGTGGGTGTCAGGTTGTCGAAAATAGTGTCAGGTGGTGTGGGGGGCGCCTCGATCCCAAGGTCACTCGAAACCACAGGCTACTCACCAAACATCTCAATACCATCCACAAGGTGGAGTAAGTTGTGAAGCTTGATATCCAGCTCCACTGCTGACAGGTGCCGCTCCACCCCACAAATGGCAGATGCTACTCGCTCACGCAGCCCGCTCAGCTCCTCCCTGTAATCGAAATTTGGAAGATCTCACTCTTAGGGACACACTACTCCATCTAGGCCCTGTAATCGAGTTACAATATGCCTACCGTGTTATGGCCTTGTCCCAGAGGTCACCGCAGGCCTGGAGAAGGTCCAAGTACACCCCCTCCAAAGTGGCTGGCAACCTCGCTGCAGCGATGGCATAATACCCGATCGGCCCCGCGAGCAGAAACATTGTATGCGTCTTGTGTGCCTTGCCCGCACCAGTGAGACGCCCCAATCGGGAGGCATACTGGGTCAGTGGCGAGGCATTTGCAGCGGATGCCAGAGCATTTCGAAATGCTGCCAACTGGTCGGAGCCTGTTTGCAAGTAATGAAGGGAGGAGGCTGGTAACAAGCTGCTTCCAAGCAAGGCGGGGTGTCAGCCAAACATAACTCATTACCCCATCCCCCCTTTCTTTCCAACAGCCTACAAAAACTGACTCGTGAGTCTAATAGTCCAAACACCCTTTTCCTACTACTAAACCCTCTTTTTACTAGTCAGAACACCCCCTCCCCGCCACCTTCCCGACTTACTGGCCTTGCCGGCGTCCGTGGCAACCTTGTTGCCCTGGTCATACTCACGGATAGCATCACTGGCCTCACCCGATCGCATGCCCTGTAACCCCTTGACGACCGTGTCCTTGATGACCCCACCGATTGTATGCATGCCGTCATACTGGATCCCCAGGACGGGGTCAAAGTAGCGCAGACGGTACAAGGGGCATGCCAACTGCTCCACCTCATAGTCTGCACAGCTTGTGGCAGTGGGGAACTCAAGTGCCAGGCGCATCTCAAGTGTGCTCCGGGGGCGTGGCGGCTGGGCATCCAGAGGCCAGTATCTACCGCATGCAGTAGTGTGCAGCTTGCGCATTTCTTTCCTCAAGCTATTTGCAGGTGACAACCAGGTGAAGTGGTTGGTGAATATGGTCTTGTGCCCAACACGATGCCCGTGAACCCAGCACTTGAAGCAGGCATTGAGAGCAGGGGTGCCCTTGATCCCAACATGCTTCTGGAGACCACGGTAGTCTGACGACAGGGCGATGATCTTGGCATAGCAGGTGAATGGTGCTCCACCTCGGGAGGCGTCATGGACTTCACACCCAATCGAATCCAGCACCTCCAGCTCGTCCGTAATAAGACCGAGGACATGGTTGTGGTCCATCGGGAGCCCATGTTTTTGCGTGGGCGGCTTTATGTTGCCACCCATGATGCAGAGGACCGATGCATACCCAATCTCATGACGGACATGGGCAGGCGCATTGACGCATAGCAGCAACCAGGGTGTGCTGGAGCGCTCATGCTCATCTGATGCCACCTGCAAAAAGGCAGGCAGAGGCCTTACATCTGAAGACCCATGAGAAAATGATGGCTTAATATATTGGACTCCACTTTCCCTGTTTCTCATGCCTGATTATTTACATCCTAACCCCACCCTCACTAGTACTTCACCCCAGGGGGCAAGCAAATGTTATGTCAGTGATACCATCTAATATGCCATCCAGTGAACTTACGATGAATGGATCTGTGACGACCATGAGGAGGACGTTGCGTGGGTCATCCCTGAATCGCTGATCCGACTCCAGGATCTGACGCACATAATCACCATCTGCGATGTCCATCATGAGGGAGCTGGTTGATCTGCGCTCCAGCCATGAACCGAATTCGGCCGCCTGGTGCGCGTTTGCATAAATGCGAGTGAGGTACTGAACTATGGAGTTGTATACCAGTGAACGAGAGGTCTGGCCACGCTCACGTCCACAAGGAGCACCTTCACCTGCTGTCAAGCCTGGGCATTTACTGTCATCACGGTGTTCACAGCGAAATAAAAACCCACAGGGACAAAGGTCGTAGCGGGACAACAGTGGCCATCTGCAGCTGGAGTACTTGCTTAATAGAGTGAGGGCCTGCTTGAATGTCCTGGGAAGATACGGAGCGGCCGCTTGGCAAGCTTTGCTGGACCCAGGTGACATGTAGTCATGGTATTTGGCATCGAGTGCCGCCTCCACAACTGACTCGGTGCATGCAGGGCTGCTATGCTTGATATAAATTGCGTGCATACATGCACGCAGTACATGCTCTTGAACGGCGTCGTCAGGTGTAAGGGGCTTGAACGCAACAGGCATGAAGCGCCTCGCAATCTTAGCACCATCCTGCCCTGGTAGTCGCCGAGACATTTCCGCAGCTGCAGTGCAACAAATGAATCGTGATCCTCTCATGAGTGAAAAGTAAGGGTAATGAGCACACCTACATTATCCCCTCGCTACATATGTAGTACCCATGGCTCACCTTCCTGGTCGAACCACTCTGGAACATTGACCAGCTGCAATTCTCCAAGGAGAAAATCGTCATCGTGGTCGAAAATCCAAGCGGTGCTTGTGCTTGGTTGCCCAGCTTCGTGATGTGTAGAGGGGGCACGCTCCGGCCCAGGGTGTGCCTGCTCTGTCGAGGTAGCTACATGGTCATCAGCCGGAGTGGGACTCGCGTTGAAAGGGTTTCCCACTGAAGCACTGTTGTTTGATCTCGTGCTACACGAGCGGAGGTTGTATTGATGCGCCGGTATCACACGAGGGGCCGCCGGTCCATTTGAAACCTCGAAGTCCACAAGTGGGGGAGCAGCGAGTAGATTCCCAAGTGACAGTGACTCCTCATGGTAATCAAGAAGAGATAACGAGTCTCTGTCTTCTGATTTAGGGTCCCTTCGGGTCGTCCTGGCTACATGGACAGACATTTGTGTCCACTGGGCTTACAAACAGTAAACAGTTTTGAGGCACCATTTTATAGAAGGTCTCAAGCAATTTGAAATCAAAAAGTTCAAAATTTTCAGGCAACATCGCAATCAGGCAAAACATTGTGGCGAATCTGCCGTACAAAGAGTGTTCAAAGCTTTACGCTACTAACGGACAAATACATAAGCATTCATTTACCTTGAAAAAATAAAGGAATTCTATAGCTTCTTACAAAATCAAGAACTCACCCTGGTCGTTCAAAAGTTGCATGAAGATTCTACAATTTTCATACTATGAAAGAGCGCTTCTTCATTTCTTCATTGCGTCTAAAGCTTAACGTATCCTTCCAACACAATGTCCATGGACAACGGCAATGAGGTCGGCGCCTACGAGTTTGACCGGAACACCCTGGACAACATCGCCCGTCGGCGACAAGATCGCCCACGCAAAAAATACAGCCAGCATCGTCCAGTGGATGAGTTTGGAGTACATAAGTTTGCCAGGGCAAACAATCTAAGTCAGTTTACCGCGCGCCAATTGGAGGATGCCTTGTCCAAGGAAAGGTGCCATATGGACGACCTTGTCAACCTATTGCGCCAATCTAGTGACATTGACGCAAAGCAGTTGCTTGGGGACATTGGCTTGACACCACTTCATGCTGCTCTGGTCGCCTCGAAAGTTTGTCCACAGAGTACTAGAAAATCAAACACTTCTACACGAAGGTACGCCTGTGGCTTTCTTAGTGTATTGCCGCCTTGTGAATTGTCATTAACTCGTCCCTGGACGTGTTTCCATCTGTACACATGCAGCACCTTTGCGAAGAGCGCTGCAGATGTGGACCTCTCGACCATCCCCGAGGCATACCACCCTTGCTTTCGGAGAATGGGGAATGATGCTGCGAGCGCGTTCAACAACATCATGTGTGAGAGGTAGGTACACGGAATACCACAGAGTTGTGGATGCATGACTCCATGTATGTCTGTTGAACACTTGACACACTCTGCACACTTCTATGAATCAGGGATCAGTTAATTGATTAGTTGATTATGGCCGCTCATTTCGTGCAGATTGCTACGTTTGGGTTACATTTGGGAGCACCTTGTTGACTGTTACAAGCTAAGGGCTACACCCTCCGGCCTCAACCTCGATCTCTGGCATGTCCTGAAGAATTGGCTTGGTCAGCTGTGCAACTTGAGGACAGGTGGTACTGCTCATCTGTCCCAGCTCAAGGCCCAGCCAGTAGCCCTCCAGGCAGTGATGGATGCTCTGAAGGAAACCATTAGGCATGCCATGCAGAATCGACAAAAGGGTAGGTGTTGGTAGTTGACAGTTTAGCCAGAGGATCATTTAGCCTGGCTGCTAATTGTGTTGCATGTTACTTTACCACACTTGTGTATTGTGTAGGCAAAAAGCGCCAACTAATGGGCCTGCCGGCTGTCCCTCCACAAGGAGAGAAGTACAATGCGGACAAACTCTTGTTGGAGGTGAAGGAGGCGTTTGGTCATCATGACTATTCAAAGAAGGGCATGGCTGGACAGGATACCGCAAATGCTGGTGAGATTTTTACCCGCTGAACCTGTTGGCTATTGTGTGAACATTTATGGCATATCCACCTCACCATGCAGCAGGTGTTGTAGTTGAGTGTTTGGGGTGTCACTACCTCGTGCTTTGAATTAGTATGCTTTGCATTATCATTTGTATATTGTCCTATGTACTGTATCACCTCACTATTGTATAACACTCTGCAGGTGGGGAGTTGGAGGTCAACCCCACAGAAGGAGATGGTGTGCCCGATATGGGACCGGAGGTGGACGTGATGACAGGAACTGTAGGAGAGGAACCGGCGGATGATTGGATGGACGACACTCTTGCCCAGTTGCATGAACCTAGCCGCCGGCGCCTGCTTCCAGAGCCGGCATTCGCACGGATACGAAAAGAGATGCATCTACTGTCAGAGGATGAGGAGGAGTATGAGAGTGAGGGTAGTAGCCCGGAGTGCACCCAGCAAGAGGGTGAGGTTGACACAGGGGAGGGGGAGGAGAGTGAGTCCGAATTGTCTGAGGAGGAATTGGATGAGAAGACGGTGGGTGGAAGTGGAAAGCAGCGGAGTGTGCAACAGCACCCTAAGCGCCCAAGTGGTAACAGGCCTGTGGTGATGGAGCAGTCTGCCAGGGGACAGCCGGCAAAGAGGGTAAAGGCTTCTACCTCTGCTCCAGAGTTAGTGGATACTGGCGCGTACGGCCTGTGTGTCGAAGGAGCTAAGACCCCCAGCAGGGGCAGAAGCAGGGGGCGAGGCAGCCAGGAGCAAGGGAAAGGGCTTGGAGCAAAGCCCCCCAGGGGCAGGGGCAGGGGCAGGGGCAGGGGCTAGCATAGATTGTGTAGCTAGTATTGCCTTTAAGTTGTTGCATTTAAGCTTGTGAGTTGGTGGCCTGGTTTATGCTTATGGGCGACAATTGCATGAAATGCTGGGTGACAGGGGTGACAATAATGCGCGCAGGCTTGAGAGTGGGACTTCTGGGCCCATAATACATTGAAAGGCCGAGTGAGAGGGGTGACATTGCGTGATGGCTGTTGTGGATGGTGGGTGACAGGGGTGACAACATTGCGCGCAGGCTTGTGTGGATGCCAGGTGACAGATCTGACAAATTGGGTACACATGTGTGAATGCTGCGTGACAACAAAGCGTGCAGGCTTGTGTGAATGCTGCTTGACATTGGTGGCATTGGTGACACAAACATTGTTGTGAATGCCGGGTGGTGACGCTGACGTTGATGACACAAACATTGTTGTGAATGCCGGGTGACAGGGGTGACAGCCTTGTGCAGGAAGGTTTATGCAGATTACAGGTGACAGGTGTGATGGCCTTGTGCAGTCAAGGAATGCCAGGTGACACGGGTGACAGTGGTGTGCACACATGGACAAGGATAAATTTAGGTATTTTAGGTATATACCTGAATCATATATGAATATGCTTAATGGCATGGTGCCAAGATGATGTGGGAGGCAGTGATAACAGTACTGTCCCAGGTGTGTAGGCATGCAGGCAGGGTGCTAGGTAGGATGAATACCTGACCATTAACCCACCTGACCATTAATCCAATTAACCGACCGTTAACCCAACTGATCATTAACCCAACCGGCCGTTAACCCAACCGGCCGTTAACCCAACCGGCCGTTAACCCAACCGGCCGTTAACCCAACCGACCGTTAACCCAACCGACCGTTAACCCAACCGACCGTTAACCCAACCGGGCCGTTAACGCCATTCAACCGGCCGGTTGGGTTAATGGGCCCCAAACGGTCGGTAACCGGCATGTTTATGCCATAGGGAAGCTCTCGTAACAGGCCAAGAGATAGGTACTTATTGCTTATTCCTTGCGTGTGTGATGCCAGCATTAGAGACCTTAAGGTTGAAATGGCAAATGATGCTTTCCGAGATACCAAGATACTGTAGGTTGCTAATGTTTACATTTTTACTAGTATCCTTAAGCGGAATTTACGATGTGGGAAGCATGTAAGGCGAGTCGCCTATAGGCCCATACATATGTCCATAGTCCTGGGCAACAGAGGGGTTTACCCTGGGGCCGTGTTACCCCTCCTGCTGGATAAGAACTTACAAGGGGGTTACCAAAGGTCTACCGGGGGTTGAAGGTGGGTAACCCATTGGTAACCCATGGGTTACTGAACCAATCAGTGCCTTAGGGCTTCCAGGATTTGTACAGCCGAGAATATGATTTTGGGCTTCTCCTATCGATGAGCAGAGACAACTTTGACTGCCTCAATTGACCGAGCTCAAAGTCACATCAACGCCTGTCAGGCTAAGTTTCATTTCAAAAGGTACTGTGTATTACATAATTGAATTCTGAGATGACAGCATATGATAACTTGAACACCCAGCTTGTGTTACCATTTGCCCGCATGGGCATTCTGACTTGCCACCAGCAGGCTGACAAATTTGCTTACAATTCTCTATGATATAT